AAGGGAGAATCTGTAGAAATGCCGAAATTTCGCAAAACCAGCATTTCTCGCGGCTGTGGGTCGAACGACTAAACAAAATAATGTCTTTGTCTCCATTTTGGCTTCTCCACCATACCGCAGCTCTCCCGATTCCGCGGTTCTTTGAATCTCTACGTATACCTTGCTCTATCCACGGTTTGGTCTTTTGTTAAAAATCGTCATGTATGATGCGGATTGCGAACCACAGGAAGGAAGAGCAAGTGTTAAACATTATGAGTAGATAGAAGGAAAAACATTGTAAACTGTCTGAATAAAACACAAAAGAAAATTAAGGTGTTTTTTGGGGGTACACTCACACTCTGCGACGAGAAATCGGGAGAATTGACGTTTTAGCATATGTTAGGCCAATAGCAGGATTGAAGAGTCGACGGAAAACGCGCGTTCTTTCGAAACGTTGAATTAACGATCCTCCTATTCTCCCGTCGCGAGCTGCGAAGGCATAAACGCAGCTCTAGGGTGCGTTCGTACTTTACGTCAGAGTTTTGTGCAACCAGGGACGTATAGTTATCGACCCAGCGTTTTGAGTGTCCGCCAGCGTTTTCAGCAACTAGGGAAGCCTAGGTATCAATCCAGCGTTCTTAGCCTCTCCCAGCTACGGATGTATCTATCAATTCAGCTTATGGAGCGTTTGGAGCTCCCATCAGTGTTTTGAAAGTTTCAAGCGACTAAAAAAGTACAGATACTAATTATCGCCAAAAAGGCTTCCGCAAAATATGAAGCCACTAACTAGAAAAACGAGAATAATTCATAGAGAAGTAGAAAGAATACGTGAGCAAGAGCATACTTTAGTGAGGAAGAGACTTTCGAAGAGTAAAAATGCAAAAGAAGAATTTTAAAGAAGTGTTTCCCCATTATCCATAAACCCCATGCAACATCGGAAGACATAAGGCGGAACGAAACGAGACCACGACGAAGAAATTTTGAATCTTTCGTATAAGTCAATGGCCACACGTGCGGAAGTTCACAATATCAAGTTTCGAGAAAGGTAAAAAAAAGAGCGGTATGAATGTTATATTGCTTAGTAAGGAATTCAGCGCAAATATGAACGACTGTCAAATCCAAGAAAATATAACTGAACTTATAAATGTATGTTCGAACCACTCTCGTATAATTTGTCCAGTTCAAAAGTAACTAACATGAGCAGGGAAATCGTTTGGAGCAGGGAAATCTTCAGAAGAAGGATGTACTACACTTTCTTAAATTTGTCCAGTTCAAAAGTAGCTACCATGAGCAGAAAAATCGCTTGGAGCAGGGAAATCTTCAGAGGAAGGTTGTATGAGTAGCGAATTGAACGATCCGCAGATTCCGCGGAATTCGAAGAATCTTCGAAATTGCCAAAGAAGACTTAATAGAACTTCGGAGGGATCAGCGCATTCTTCAATTACGCAGATTAATTACGCAAATACGCATTGTTCTTGTTCCGCAGATTTGGGGGTACCACAGAATTTTTTATGTATTGAGCATTCCTACGAATGTGTACCACAAAAAGCACTCGCTCTCCACTCGCTCTCCACCTTGTGAGCAATCTGATTTACCAGGCCAGAGAAGTGATGGATTTGCGCCTGAGTAGGAAAATTGTATGCAGCCACATCTTTTAGTCATATCTCTACTCTGATTTTAAAGACACATAGTACGCTCACACACATTGAGGGTGTATGAGACTATCAGCCCCCAGCTGTCGATGTGTCGTGGTCCCCCCCCCCCAAACATGCCCAGGAATGGAGATACAGGACCGTGAAACACGCTAATTCCTCCATGCTCCGCCTTACACCTTTTTGCGGCGCAGATTCCCGTCCTTCATAACATCCGTTGCGCGCGTGTCGCGTGCGGCTCCTTGGCACTTTGCCAAGTCCTTTAATTGCGCTTTCAAATACAAGTAAAACGCAATTTCCTGATGCGGATAACATTGGAGGTGCTGCAAAATAAGAACAGAAGATGATGACGAGGGTCAGAACTTGTGCCACTTCTGCAACATCCCTCGGAGGCCGCGTATTTCCACGAAACATGAAAATAAAAACGGCATACTCGTTAGTTTAATACAAGCAAAACGCAATTTCCTGATGCGAATAAAATTTTAGGTGTTGCTCATGCTTCAAAATCCATGTACAAGGAGATGAAGATGACTAGAAATGAAGCACAACGATGTAAATGTAAATAAAACAAAAATGAAAAAAAAGGGAAAGGCAAATTTAGATAAATTGGCCTGTAAATTTCTACGATCCGGCGCGAATCCGGCGCCAAAGCCATAGAAATACTTAGAACAAACGAGTGGGACGCTTGGGCCGTTTTTATTGTCATGTTCTGGGGAATGCGCGGCCTCTGAGGATATTGCAGAAGCAGCACAGTTGCTCTTGAGTTCTAGCCCTCGTCATCATCTTCTGTTCTTATTTTGTAGGTCATCATCTTCTGTTCTTATTTTGTAGCACCTCCAATGTTATCCGCATCAGGAAATTGCGTTTTACTTGTATTTGAAAGCGCAATTAAAGGACTTGGCAAAGTGCCAAGGGAGCCGCACGCGACACGCGCGCTTACGACGGATGTTATGAAGGACGGGAATCTGCGCCGCAAAAGGTGTAAGGCGGAGCATGGAGGAACTAGCGTGTTTCACGGTCCTGTATCTCCATTCCTGGGCATGTTTGGGCGGGGACCACGACACATCGACAGCTGGGGGGCTGATAGTCTCATACACCCTCAATGTGTTTGAGCGTACCATGTGTCTTTAAATGACATCGCCCTTCTGCTTGATATCTGAGCATGCGTTTATTGTATAAAGAACGGTTTCATGACAAGCATATCATTCAAAAAATAGATTGAACAAGGGGGAAAGGTGGTAGATCTAGTGTTGTCCAGAAACCGGATATTTGTAAAAGCTCACGGTGGGCGTCGTAAAAGCTCCATGACAAACGCAACGCTTGTCAAGTGTGTTTTCTATTTCTTTTTCATTTTATGCCCAAGCATTTCTATCCCACTCTGTCATGTTAAGAGAATCTTGTGGGCAGAATGGAAGCATTACAAAATAGTTCAGGACTGTAGTTTTGTGTAGTAAGGAATTGTTAAAAGCTGTTAACCCACACTTTTTCCGCACAAAGAAGATGTGATTAACAGAAGCATCACGAGCTCCTCAAGTGATTCTAATAAACGTGTCACCTGCGTGCATTTTAGAAGAATGGGACCTCTGGAGGAAAATAGAGGGCTGTACACCAACGTCCTTATCTACTAGAGGTACTGTTAGATAGCTAGACTTTCACAACAGCAAACGATTAAGTTTAGTCATCAGTGCTTCAGCATAAGCCAGCGCACACCCAAGACGCTACCGCACGCTCAGAAGGCAGAAGCAACGTATAAACGCACTCCAAATGGTGGCAAAACCGTGGACAGTTGATCATTGAAACTAGGCCAGCAAAGTATGTGTGAAACTTTTTCAGCGAAGTTCTTCGAAAAAATGTCTGTATTTATACGAATATTTTCAGCTAACCAAAATGCAGAATTTGATCTACAGATATTGCAGGGGCTGCTCCTATTTCGCTTTGTGATCAACTACACCTTCGGAACGCGCTAATACCTTGACGAATTCACAAATTGCGGGATTGGGAGATCTAAGGAAACCGCAGAAAGGATTGCATGTGTATCGTTCTTAAGCACTAAAGGACGAATCGTGGAACTGGAAAAGCTGACGAATGTCCGAGAAAAGATGTTTCTTTTTGGCCATTACTCAATTCAACGATCTCCACTCGTAAGCTATGAACGTAGCCTTGTGCGTCGTAGTTTCCATGCACTCTGTCAAATTTAATTACTGGTCGCAGCGAAACGGTTCAAAACCAGATCAAGTTTGAAGGATAGGAGCATCTAGATCGTTCCACAACAAAGAGCTAGCGAAATAAGGAAAACGTGGGTAAGAAGTGATTGAAACACAGAATCAAGCAGTTTTCAATGCCAGGCCGCTATTTTCGGCCGTAGGCAAACGTTGGAAAAAGGATAAGTAAAAAAAGCACGTGGAATGCTACTCGAAACACATGAAAATTTCAAAAAAGAGTAAACTGTGTCCATTAGGCGAACGAAAAGAAGCAGTTAGAGCAAAGGAAAGTATAAAAGCGAGACTTACACCATGAAGCTTGACGCCGGTGTCCTTGCATCTTGGCACAGATCCGCGTTTCTTCAAGTATTGGTAAACTAGCCGGCCACCAGGAGTTTTCACGATTTTGCACTTGTTCGACTTAGTGTTGTACGACAACCTACGCCTATAAGTGACGCGTTGAGCCATATTACCTGAAACGAACAAGGGTAGAGCAGAAACAACCAAATAAAACAAACGAACAAAATAAAAATCAACGACGCAGAACAAATTCTAAAAATTCTCACTGAGCCTAAAGGCAACACTAGGCTATATCCACGATCCTAAAGCTCAATCTCGACCTAATTATATACTAAAAAAAGAAGAACAAAGGTAGGAAACCCACAAAATAAAAATAAAAAGAATTTTAGGCTGAGACAGCGGCCGCTCTGCCATGAGATTACGGTAATCGTACACTGCGTACACTTTGGGCGCCAATTTGAACGGAGAAATTCTCCGAGATCAATATGCAGCTGGGTGGCCATCAGGTCTCGAGAGGGATCGATCCAGGCTGTGTCATTTAGTTTTCATGCTGTCACTATTTGAAACACTGATCTGTTTGATTATTCATAATCAAAATAATTAGAATGGATCTGGAGCTCCCGTAAATCGATTGTAGCGATGAGTAAGCAGAATAGGAGTGGTCGCCAGTGTTTCCTCGAAAACTGTCTTGGCTTCGATTATTCTTTTCTTGCTGCAGGCAATAAAGTAACCATTGTGACCGCTCAAAAGCAAACACTGTAGCGAGATGAGGTTCAACCACCTCGTAAATTCTTTGAGCGTTTTTATCGGAGCTTAAGGGGCGGAGTTATCGCCACGGTGCGGCTAGAACCCTTAACCGCCGAATCGACGCAGCATGTCGATGAGACGTATATCTGGGGCGGCGCTAGCTCATTTCCCACCAATTATTGCTCATCTCATCTGGCAGTAAGGGCCAAAATCCTGACACGCCCCGTCGATTCGGTTGTTAAGGGCTTTATCTACAGCGCACCATGGCATTACAGATATTTTTGATTTTTGAATTTTTTTTGTTGTACTTTTCACTTATGTCTGGCTAGTTCTTATTCATCCAATCAATGGATTTTGAGAGCTCATCTTTTCTCCTTTGTCGGGATTTTTTTTCCGTAAATGAGGTTTCTCGGAGTCTGCGCTTGTTCGCGGGGAACCTCTTTTTCTTCGGTTCCTTTCGCAGATAAACAAGTCAACTGGCATTCAAATATCACCATGGTTTTCAAGTTGAAGTGGGATGCATGGCGTATCCTGGAAAAGGATCATTTGTTTCACCGTCTTTTTTGTTTATAGCTATTTCGCAAAGCTTTCTACGTGTGCTATCTTCACCTGCTTTGTACTCCCTTGGACAGTTTCTACAGATTCCGAATACTTGGTTTTTCCAACAATCCGCAAACTAAACGTTTTTCTCACTGATCTGAACTGCTTTTTGGCGCCGTTCTGCTTGATGGGGCCCCAAAGGATGTAGAAACTTGTATAGGCCACCTTGGGGTACCGTGTGAATTCATGTACCTGAACCGGGTCACTGCACCATTTTGCGGCTTCACACGAGTTCCAGGTCTTACCAAAGTGAGCCATGGTCGCTAATAAAAGCAACTAGCAAAAGGCGGAATGCCCTTCCCCGTAGGCTTAACAGCGCCTTTTTTGTTTCGGAACTTTTAATTAGATGTGTGGGCCAGGAGATCCACGTTGCGGCAACGTGCAGAAACTGTCGAAATATTCCCTACCTAGTTGACTTGGCGCATTAAAACAGTTTCGCGTTGAATAATTAGGTGTTGGTGCGAATGCCGCGATCGCGATGTCATTCGTAGAAGCGATTTTGTCGCGTCGTCGCGGCATGGATTTCCTACCCAGCACCTTACTTGTACGGGTTTTTTGGTGGAATTAACGAGCTTCGTGAAGACCGGCGTGTGGTCGACATGCGATAAAATAAAAACAAAAAAATCAGATCACACTGGTCCCCCCCCTTGTAGGATGTGCTACGCATTTGGTTTCCATTTAGAATCGTATAATACTTTTGAAAAGGTCTTTTTAAAGGGATCTCTGACCAAACCAATATACACTGCCCTATGACTTCTTTTCCTTCAAAGGGTCCGTACCGACCCACTGGGAAACTACCCTGAGAGGATGGAACTTTCAGAGGGAGTCGATCCAGGAGATCCGGGCCAAGTGCATTGCGGAGCCCTTTTGCAGCTGTCTCACAGCTCATCGGGTAAATATAGGGTAATAGACTATGCACGCATTGCAGGGTATGCAAACAGACTATTATATGAGCTCATTTTGCTGCGGAGAGCCGCTCAGTTGTTTCCCAGAATTTGGCCAGAAATAAAGCCGCCGTCGAAGAAAGGTGATATGAGGGACTGCTGCCCTTTGGACGCGCTCAGTTTTGGTTGCAGGCGGTATTTATGAAGTGTCGTAACCGTCCCCCCCCCACTGCCCACCCCTGCGCTAAGGCTGAGCCTGGTAGAAGGAGTGATTCCCCTCATTCCAGGATTCAGCCTTAGTAGAGCGAGATGATCGTATTGTCCTCCATTAGCGCCAGCGCCAGGAATGAATGTCATGGCGCAGTTTGCCGACGGGGGGGTTGCACTTTCGTTGCTTCACTAGTTCTGGTTTACAAGTCTCACTCTGGTGAAACCTGTGAACTCTTGTGAAGCTGGAGCAAGCTCGTCAAGCCATCATGGTAAAACCTGTCAACTCGAGAAGAGGCTGTCTAGATGGGTCGACACGTCGATGGGAAGTCGTTGAAGTGCAAAATGCCCCCTCCCCCCCCGGGGGAGCGCCGAATGTCATATTAGTAAGTAGGATCTTAAGCAACCCCTGCATACAAGTTTTCAGCGGATTTGGTAATCTAGGCACTTCATAAATGAGCCAAAGATCAAACGAGCGTCCAAACTGCATTAGTCGTGACATCGAGTACCTCCTTATCAAGTATATGGCTTGAAGAATCCGAATCAAAGCTTCCGCTTAGGCCACCGTTCCGTTACTTCGAACTTGGTTAAGCGATAGCAGATTTGGATGATAGGATAAAACCTAAACCTTTACATCATGTGGTCCATTCAACTAATTGCACAAGCCAGATCAAATTCACATATTGTGGTATTTTAATGGAAGGTGGATGCGTGGCGCATTCCATCCAGGAAATAACAAGAAAGGT